TGAATGAATGAATGAATGATGCATTTATATAGCGCTTTGTGTATTGTTGTACACCCAAAGTGCTTTACAATCATGTAGGGGTGGGGGTCTCTCCTCAACCACCACCAGTGTGCAGCATCCACCTAGATGATGCGACGGCAGCCACAGGACAACGGTGCCAGTGTGCTCACCTCACACCAGCTACAGGTGGAGAGGAGGGGGCGAGGCCATGCTGCGCTGCTTTAGAAAAGAGGAAGAAAACTAGGGGTGCATGTAAAAATCGATTCATATACTGTATGAATCGCGATTCTGTCTTCTAATGATTCTAATGTATTCACAAGTTTCAAAATCAATGTTCTAAAGCAGCGGTTCTCAATCCTGTTCCTCACGTCGCTTTGCTCCGCATCTCTCTCTCTCTCATTCAGATCAGCTCAGCTCCAACAATGAACTGTTCCATTTATACACTTATTTTCACATAGCTATAACAAGCGTTAAACATGGTATGCGGTTGCCATACTGTATAAAAGCTTTAATGATAAAACCGTTTATTAAAAGCTAACATAAGCAGTAGCTTAATAACAGAGTATCTAAAAGTATGAAAAAACAGCAAACAAAAACATAGGCCTACCATTAAGAGCCATGCTTGCACAGGTTCTGCGCTATCCTCTTCACTAATATCCTCTGCGTCTCAATCGGGCTCAAATTGATAAGCAATATAGACGACGCCATTGTTTACAATACAACGGGAGCACATGCTGCTGACCTGAGGGAGTTGCACTAGAGGCAGTTTAGCCAATCACAACACACTGGGCCAGCTAACCAATCAGAGCCCATCGTGTATTTCTGAGGGAGGGGCTTCATAAAAGCAGGAAATGATCAGCATGTTTATCAGAGAAGGGACAGAGCGGTGTGAAATAAAAGTAAATTATGTGAAAAATAATGCGTTTTTAACAAACGAAGCATTAACACGTCAGACTGCACCCCATAAACACAATCAAGCCTAGAAAAAAAACAATCAACCACCCCTTTAAAGGCTGTTTTTGATGCTAGTTTACATGACTAATATTTATTTTCTTTTCATGCAGCCCTGAGACGGTGTTTTTTCTTAAAGCACCATGGCCTGGAGGTTTTCGCTGCAGCTCACCAGCCACTCTTTTTTGGCAGGAAGTGGTTCACTATTCAAATTTCCTATGTGTGCATGTTTACGATACATTTTTTGTGTCGAGTAGTGGGAGGCCGATATACAATCCCTCCAATGACTTGAAAAGACTACATGACAAGTAAGTGATATTACAGATATCTACATTTTATTTTCTTTCTTGTCCGTTCGCTCATTGCATACTTAAGATGCTCTGTCTTATAAATATAATATACCCAGTGTGACCTGCGGCGATGCCCGGAGAGCAGTTGAGACAGCTGCGAAAAACCTGATGGAGGTAGAGAGAAATGCAGTGGCACGGCTCTTGGGGCACACTCCAGAAATTGCAGAAAAACATTACCGGATGAGAACTCCAGCAGATGCATTTCTGGCCCAAAGCATGTTTGACCAGCTTGCTGGAAAAACAAGGTTTGGAATCTGACATTTTATTCATAATTTTGCTACTCAAAGCAGTCTCTAATTTGCCTTTTCTTCAATATTTATTCACTGATCTTGTAGACAAGGGTTTTAGTGCGGCTTCCAGCCGAGAGCCAAGGGTGGATGAACAGACAGCGTTTGGCGTTTTTTTACAGTCCTGGCCAGTGACTCTTGGATGGGCCTCCTCCAAAAAGGACATGCAGGCAGCAACTGTGTGCTGAACACGAGAGGCACTGCTACGACCGCTGGCGCAGCGAGCAGCTCAAGCTGCGTGAACAGCATATCCTCGGTGAGTATCCACACATGTCAAATGTCAGTGAAATCTCAAAGAATAATATATATTAGTCCAGGTGATATGTTAAATTTTTCATAAAAGCATGAAACTTAGTTTGCGGCCCTAAACATTTTCAGAAATGGAGCCATTGCAAAAACACCTTGTGGTTGCCATGGCGCCATAACTCATATCTCCTGAACCTCATGAGGCAGGTTTGGATGCACTAAACTTTTACTATAAAGATGATGACAGCAGAGTACCATCACAATATATAGTGGACCTTACAACACTAGTCTTAACCAATAACTATTTTTTATTTGAGAGAGATTTTTATTTGCAAGTGCAAGGTACAGCGATGGGCACTCCAATAGCAACAAATTATGCAAATTTATCATCCACCTAGATGATGCGACGGCAGCCACAGGACAACGGTGCCAGTGTGCTCACCTCACACCAGCTACAGGTGGAGAGGAGGGGGCGAGGCCATGCTGCGCTGCTTTAGAAAAGAGGAAGAAAACTAGGGGTGCATGTAAAAATCGATTAATATACTGTATGAATCGCGATTCTGTCTTCTAATGATTCTAATGTATTCACAAGTTTCAAAATCAATGTTCTAAAGCAGCGGTTCTCAATCCTGTTCCTCACGTCGCTTTGCTCCGCATCTCTCTCTCTCTCATTCAGATCAGCTCAGCTCCAACAATGAACTGTTCCATTTATACACTTATTTTCACATAGCTATAACAAGCGTTAAACATGGTATGCGGTTGCCATACTGTATAAAAGCTTTAATGATAAAACCGTTTATTAAAAGCTAACATAAGCAGTAGCTTAATAACAGAGTATCTAAAAGTATGAAAAAACAGCAAACAAAAACATAGGCCTACCATTAAGAGCCATGCTTGCACAGGTTCTGCGCTATCCTCTTCACTAATATCCTCTGCGTCTCAATCGGGCTCAAATTGATAAGCAATATAGACGACGCCATTGTTTACAATACAACGGGAGCACATGCTGCTGACCTGAGGGAGTTGCACTAGAGGCAGTTTAGCCAATCACAACACACTGGGCCAGCTAACCAATCAGAGCCCATCGTGTATTTCTGAGGGAGGGGCTTCATAAAAGCAGGAAATGATCAGCATGTTTATCAGAGAAGGGACAGAGCGGTGTGAAATAAAAGTAAATTATGTGAAAAATAATGCGTTTTTAACAAACGAAGCATTAACACGTCAGACTGCACCCCATAAACACAATCAAGCCTAGAAAAAAAACAATCAACCACCCCTTTAAAGGCTGTTTTTGATGCTAGTTTACATGACTAATATTTATTTTCTTTTCATGCAGCCCTGAGACGGTGTTTTTTCTTAAAGCACCATGGCCTGGAGGTTTTCGCTGCAGCTCACCAGCCACTCTTTTTTGGCAGGAAGTGGTTCACTATTCAAATTTCCTATGTGTGCATGTTTACGATACATTTTTTGTGTCGAGTAGTGGGAGGCCGATATACAATCCCTCCAATGACTTGAAAAGACTACATGACAAGTAAGTGATATTACAGATATCTACATTTTATTTTCTTTCTTGTCCGTTCGCTCATTGCATACTTAAGATGCTCTGTCTTATAAATATAATATACCCAGTGTGACCTGCGGCGATGCCCGGAGAGCAGTTGAGACAGCTGCGAAAAACCTGATGGAGGTAGAGAGAAATGCAGTGGCACGGCTCTTGGGGCACACTCCAGAAATTGCAGAAAAACATTACCGGATGAGAACTCCAGCAGATGCATTTCTGGCCCAAAGCATGTTTGACCAGCTTGCTGGAAAAACAAGGTTTGGAATCTGACATTTTATTCATAATTTTGCTACTCAAAGCAGTCTCTAATTTGCCTTTTCTTCAATATTTATTCACTGATCTTGTAGACAAGGGTTTTAGTGCGGCTTCCAGCCGAGAGCCAAGGGTGGATGAACAGACAGCGTTTGGCGTTTTTTTACAGTCCTGGCCAGTGACTCTTGGATGGGCCTCCTCCAAAAAGGACATGCAGGCAGCAACTGTGTGCTGAACACGAGAGGCACTGCTACGACCGCTGGCGCAGCGAGCAGCTCAAGCTGCGTGAACAGCATATCCTCGGTGAGTATCCACACATGTCAAATGTCAGTGAAATCTCAAAGAATAATATATATTAGTCCAGGTGATATGTTAAATTTTTCATAAAAGCATGAAACTTAGTTTGCGGCCCTAAACATTTTCAGAAATGGAGCCATTGCAAAAACACCTTGTGGTTGCCATGGCGCCATAACTCATATCTCCTGAACCTCATGAGGCAGGTTTGGATGCACTAAACTTTTACTATAAAGATGATGACAGCAGAGTACCATCACAATATATAGTGGACCTTACAACACTAGTCTTAACCAATAACTATTTTTTATTTGAGAGAGATTTTTATTTGCAAGTGCAAGGTACAGCGATGGGCACTCCAATAGCAACAAATTATGCAAATTTATTTATGGGTAAATTTGAACATGTCTATAATAACAATCCATTTCAGTCAAATATTAAAGTTTGGATGCAATATATAGATGATTGTTTTATGATTTGGTCAGGCTCTGAACAGGAATTAGATTCATTTGTGTCGTTCATTAATTCGAAAATTCCATCAAGTTTACAATGGAAAAAAGTTGTGATTCGATACATTTTTTGGACGTTAAATTAACAAAGATCAATGAGTCATTACATACAACAGTATTTCAAAAACCAACGGATTAAAACACCGTCCATCTATTGACAGTTATCATCCATCTCCTTTAAAACGTAGCATACCGATCAGTCAATTGCACAGATTAACTCGTAATTGTAGTACTGCACATGAATTTAATGAACAGGTAAAACTGCTATTTCAATGATTTCGTTCTAAAGGGTTAAACAAAGTTGGTTAAATAATGCATTGAAAAAGGTTAACAAATTGAATAGACAAGATCTTTTGAAAATAAATAAACCGAATAAAAAACAGAAATTTTTCAGTAAATTGTTCAGTGACATACAATGAGCACAGTAACACAATAAAATCAATCATTTATAAATATTGGCACATATTATCATCTGATGAATCTCTAAATTATAAATTTCAATATCGCCCATTGTTTACTTTTAAAAGATATGATGGTAAATTCAGATGTAGTAAGGAGAAAAAAGACTGCATATACACAAGGCTGTTTCCCGTGCAGAAACTGTACTACATGCCGGAATTTGGTGAAATGTAAAGAGTTTATGAGTCCAGTAACACGGAAATGTTTTAAAATTACATCGTGTATTACCTGTTCAACTCGTAATGTGATCTATATGTTAAAATGTCCCTGTCAAAAGATATATATAGGAAAATCATCGCGTCAGCTGAAATGACGAATTAACGAACATAAATCTAGTATACGACGACAAGATATAACCTCTTCAGTAGCGAGACATTTCAATGAAATGGGACATGATATCAAGCAATTGGAATGTATAGGAATAGAGGAGGGTCACGTAGAGAAGGTAATATAAATAAAGAACTATTGAAACGGGAAGCATTTTGGATTCATAAACAAATCACTGACGCCAAATGGCATGAATGAGGAATTAGAACTTTCTGTTTTCCTTTAATGAACTATAATTGGTCGAATTCATCTTTAATATTTTATATAATAAATCTTGAGTATTTACAGTGTGAAAACAATGATTGTTTATGATGATGTATTTCTGATGTTTTTAATTATTGAATTTTCCACTGTTATACAATTGCGTGAGTAGGGCCTACGCTCTCGAACCGCCCACTGCTGCCTACTGGCGAAGAAGGAGGATGAGTGTGGTCCGGTGTTGGTCCGTCCGCGACTCTCCGTACCCTCCTGGGACCCAGGGACAGAGAAAACCACTCTCTCGTCGAGATTTTCCAGATTCTCCACCCGGCCCTCCTCCGGGGGAGGGAGAGGTGCCTTCACCATCCCCCAAGAGCAGCTACATCCTTCTCTGGGTCGCCCGTACCGGGGCCTCTTACTCTTCTGCTCACCGGCAGGTTTTACGGGGGCCTGGATGGGTAGGGCGGCCTGCCTACGCCCAGCTCCACGGCGCCGCTTGCTGGAGGCTGCTGCGGATGTGGCGTGGGGGCGGACGCAGGGGGCCACCCTTGGCGAAGAGCAGGCTGTGATGCTGCGGCCGGCGGACGGGTGGAGGCAGCAGCTGCCCGCCAGGGAAGGGTGTGCGCCTCAGTCTGCTTCTGTGCAGCCATGAGCTGCTGGGACAGGCTTTCGACCGCATCGCCGAAGAGGCCGGTCTGGGACACAGGGGCATTAAGGAATCGAACTTTGTCGGCGTCCCTCATATCGACCAGACACAGCCAGTTTTGGCTCTCCTGGACCACCATAGTGGACATCGCACAGCCCAGAGACCACGCAGTGACCTTCGTCGCTCGTAGTGCGAGGTCCGTAGCGGTACAGAGTTCTTTGAGAACTTCTGGGTCGTGACCACCCTCATGCAGGTTGCTCAGTGACTTAGCCTGAAGAACCTGCAGTAACGCCGTAGCGTGTAAGGCGGAGGCAGCTTCTCCACAGGTCGTATAAGCATCGCTGGCCAGTTGAGTACCTACAGACCCAGGAGGGGAGGCCCGGTTCGCCCTGCCGGGTGGAGGCGGTATTAGGACACAACTGCATCGCAACCGACCGCTCCACCGGACGGACCTCCGTATACCCCTAGCTGCACCACCATCGAGGGTGGTGAGGGAGGAGGAACCAGCAGATCGTTTCCGGCAATAAAAGGTGCTGTCCATGACCTGGTGAGCTCCTCATGCACCTCCGGGAAGAAAGGCCGGGCGCTGAGAACCAGCACAAGCAACCCCGAGAAACCAATCGTCCAGCCTCGAGGGCTTGGGATGCGGTGGAGATTTCCACTCGAGCCCTACCCTCTCGGCGGCCTGGGAAAGCATAGCCATTATTTCTGGATCAGATTCAGGCATTGCTACAGTCCCGGAGGACAGCAGTGCAGCCGGATCTTCCTCTCCAGAAAGCTCCGGCTCACCCTCCGATGCAGTGATCGACATCCGGTCGTCGGGAGGAGCTCCAAATGATACTGCTGGTATGCTCCTTGTAGAGGGCCCAGCACGTTCCGTTGGCAGCTCAACTGGTTGCGGAGTTGAAGCGATGGTCCCCCGAGGATTACCCGTGCTACTGCCTGAAGTAGCCCCCGCCTGACTGCCGCCATGACGAGAGATATATCGAGGCAGAGGCAACGGAGCTCCGCCCCTTTGAGGAAACAGAGCTTGGCCATCGACTCCGAGATGATCATCTTCCCGCAATGAGAACATGACTCGTCCACAAACGCCACCTCAGCGTGTTTAATGCCCAGACACGTGAGGCAGCGATCGTGACCATCACCCAGCGCCAGGTAACGACCGCATCCAGAAATGCTCGGGTGGTACGTTGTCTAAAGCAAGACCCCCATCATCTTTACAAAGACATAACGTCGAGTTTGCCACGCAACGTCATCTTTAAAAAGACGCACCCGTGAATGCTCTTTTAGGGAAAAAGCTCTTTTAGCATGCTGAAGCGCACAGGGGAGATGGCCGCCTGCAACACAAACAGGGGGTAGTGCAGCCTGATGTGTGCGACCCACTCGACACGGGAAAACCACCACCGCTGACGCGCCGTGCCACCAACACGAAGAGCTCTCAAAGAGCACGCTGAACTCGTTCAGTCTTCTTCTCTCAGTACAGTAGTCAGGAGCAGAACGATGTGATCGCTCGGCTCCGAAGCGAAAAGCTGAATATGCGCTGCACCTGCTGCCTACTTATACTCACGCTGTGATCAGCGGCAGCTGGATGCAATAATCGCATGCCAATGTACATTGGCTCGTTTAGTTTACACTCAAAGTAGATTGGTCTCTCTAAGCGAGATCCCAATTCGTCGGTCATCCGATGTGACGTCGAGAGTTACTGACTGAAAGGGAACCATGTGTCTAGGCACATTTAATTCTAAGCTTTAAAATGATACAAATTATTTAATTATAGCCTTAGAATTGGCTGAAGGAAAAATAAATTGCTACTGTCAGATTTAAATAGTTTTGAAGGCCACGCACAAGCTCTGAAAATACCTGAATTTGACCTCTGATTTCTCCATTTCCTAAAAAGATACAACTATGACACTAGGCACATTTTAAAGGAGAGATTATAAGCTTTAGATTGATATACATTACTTTATTGTGGCCTAAAAATTGCCTGAATGAAAAATAATTTACTACCGACCAATTTCCATTGTCTTGAATATGGAAAATAGCTGAATCTGACCTCTGATTTCTCCATTTCGGTACAAGATACAGCAATTTCTCTAGTATCATTTTAAAGCAGATATTCTAAGCTTTATATCAATATATATATATATATATATATATATATATATATATATATATATATATATATATAGAGAGAGAGAGAGAGAGAGAGCTTTAGATTGGTATAAATTGCTTAATTGTAGCCTTAGAATTGACTGAATGAAAAATAAATTACTACTGTCAGATTCCCATTGTTTCGAAGGCCTCGCACAAGCTCTGAAAATACCTGAATTTGAAGGAGAGAATCTAAGCTTTATATTAATATAAATTACTTTATTGTGGCCTAAAAATTGTGTGAATGCCTCAGAGGCTTGTTACGACTTTTAGTCAAGGTTGATCGTCTTCTCGGCGCTCTGCCAGGGCCCGTGAGGACTCGTGGTTTCCCGCATGCTGCCCGGCGGGTCATGGGAATAACGCCGCCGGATCGCGGATCGGCATCGTTTACGGTCGGAACTATGACGGTATCTGATCGTCTTCGAACCTCCAACTTTCGTTCTTGATTAATGAAAACATTCTTGGCAAATGCTTTCGCTTTAACTGAGATTCCAAGCTTTGTAAAGCATGCATATTCTGAAGCACTCATTTCGAGTAATTTCGCTAGTTTTTTTATTTCAGAATTGTTCAGCAAATAAACACACACACACACACACACACATATAAAACTGAGATTCCAAACTTTATATTGATATAAATTACTTAATTGTAGCCGCAGATTTGGCCGAATTGAATATTTTTGTTGGAATTCTGTATTTTTCAACACGTGTTGAATTCACCAGATTTCACTACTTTTAAAATTCAGTCACTGTTGTCTGTTTTTAAAACTACTTCAATTTATATATATACATTTACTTAACCTATTTATGCACTCTTCCTCTCATATCTATGAGAAGACACAGCCTCTGAAAAAGGGCAAGCATATTCTGAAGCACTGAGTCATTTCGCTGTTTTTCTCTTTTCCAAGCTTTATATTGATATAATTTACTTAATTGTAGCTGCAGATTTGACCAAATTAAATATTCGTTGGAATTTGGTGTTTTTCAACACGTGTTGAATTCACCAGATTTCACTACTTTTCAATTTCATACACTGATTTTCTCACACAAAAAAGGACAGATTTGCATTGTGCTAAGCAGATATGTATATGTTCTGACCCACAGGAAAAATGAGCAGCAGTGTGGACAGTGGGGTGGAGGTCCATGGTGGCAGCAGTATTGTAAGTGCTAATAGAAATCCAATAAAATTCTTCATAATATAAAAATAGTAATTCATTTTTCATAATTTATTTTTCATGTTGTTTTTCCATAGGCCACTACGGTAATAATAAGCCGTACAGTAAGTTTATACTTGTCTTTAAGCTATGCATACATTCTTACACTGTGATAATTAAATGATGTTAGGTTGGACAGCTGTTGTGTTGTGCTGTTTTGCAGGACACCGAGTATAGCTCATCAGGAGAGGAGGGACCCCCAAATGTTCCTCCTCCTCCTCTTCCCCCAGTAGCTCCACCTTCACCTCCACCACCACCTCCCCAGTACATCGTCCTGCTCCTCGGGAAGAGCATGAAGAAGATGTAATGTATAGATTTATTGTGCCCTCTATAATTATGTAGTGTATTTGTGAACGTTTTGTTCATTTTTTCCCTCTCTGCAGTATTTTGCAGATGATGAGGAGGAGGAGGAGGAGCAGCAAGAATAGGAGTGATTTAAAAAAAAACTTTTTAATAAATACTTTTTCAATTAATAGCTCTTATTATTGTCTTCTCATACCTTGTGTTTCATCTGCATGGATTTGTAGAAATAAAAATAAAACACATTAAAAATATAAGTGAGAAAAAAAAATTAACTTAGGACAAATCTCTGGTGTGAGCACACAGCCTCTGAAACAGGGCAAACATTTTCTGAAGCACTGAGTCTGTTACGGGGTGAACGAGACGTGAGACGTGCGGCTCCATCTGCAAAGCTTTTATTTCAAGGCGTGGTCATATAGCAGGCAAGGTTCTGACAATGGCAAACAGGTATATTAAGGGCAAAACAAAAGAGTAATCCAAACCGGGCGCGAGTCTGTCGACAGCGAACGTTATCCAGAGGGCTTAACAAGAGGGGAAATCCAATAACACGAGCAATAGTCCAGGCGAGGTGCAAACACAGTCCGAAACAGAAAGACAAAGGGTTAATCCAAGATAAACAGGCAAGAATCAGGCAACACGGCTAGCAAAACAAGACTGACTACGAGCTATGGACTGGAAACTAGGGCAGAAAACTGGCTCTGTAGTCTGCTACCACTAGGAGAGCGATATACGCAAACAATACTCGGCGTGTGTAATAGCTTTCAGGTGAGCGTATGATTGGTTACAGCTGTGTGCAATCAGTACAATGGATGATGGGAAATGTAGTCCAGGGTATAGTGTAACAGTCTGTGTAGTGTGAGAGTCCATGTAGTGAGTGGGTGACCTCTGGTGGTGAGTGAACGGAAGTTCATAGACAGGATTCGTGACAGAGTCATCCACTGTGTGTTTTTTATTTTTTATTTCAGAATTGTTCAGCACACACACATTGTAATACTGTACACAGAAGCATATTATTAAATACTATTTTAATATTAATTGCTTTTATTTAAATTTAAATTGTTTTTATTTAAATTTGTGACCAAGGCACCGCCTAACCATGCTTTTTTATTTAGTTTTTTTATTTTATTTAGTATTTTATTTAGTTATTTTTAGATTTTTTTATAGATTGTGTGTGTGTGTGTGTTTTATTAGATTTGTTGAGAAATATTTTTTCACACCTTATATAGCCCGTAAGTTTCATTTATTGTTATTTACTTTTTTACATCATTTTTTATCAATTTACTAGCTGTGTGTGTGTGTGTTATATTAAATGGTTGTTGAAAACATTTTGTTTTGAAGCTATTGAAGTCGACCATTCTACTCATTAGATTAATCAAAATGGACACCAAAATAGATTTACTAAGACAAAACAAGGCAGCATTGGAAATGGCTCTTTATTTGAAAGAGTGGGTGGCTCTGAAAAGAGCCGTTGGCGCTTCAGCTCGACCTGAAGGCCCTCTGTGAGGTTGCTGAGGAAAAGCTGGTTTCCCTCATGGCTCAGGTAGACTCCATCTTTGATCAGATGAAGCTGTCAAGGTTTTGGGTAGAGGATGGAGCGAGGACTCAGTATTGCAGGTTTTTAATTGGTAATAAAAATAAACAAACAGAAACACAAACTACCCCGTGGGGGAAAAACAGGCTGGCAAGGCAAGGCAAGGCAAGAGCAAGCTGATGTTGCGGTGAGGAATGCAGTGCATGCCTCTTTCTGACAGGAAACCAGACATGGCTCCGTTGACCCACTGCCGGCTTCTCTCGATGCCGTAGGCGGTCCTCCCGGTCTGACCTCTCAAGTTCAGACGTGGCAGAATGTCAGAAAACAGGACCCTGGTCTTGCGATGCATCTTAAAGACCCTGGTCAGGTCAGCCTTCATTTCCCGAAGGAAATCCAGGCGGTTCTGGCCCTCGAGACACAAGCTGTTTCCACCGAGGTGGATTAGCAAAATCTGAGGAGCTGGACCGCTAGCTCTGAGAGACCGCAGGGTTGGAAGTAGATGCTCCCAGAGCCTGCCTCCTCTGCCTTCCCAGGTGAGTTCGCAGGGCAGACCAAGGTTGATGTCGAGTTGCTGCTCACAGAGGTATGCAGCCTACGGATGTAGGAGCTTCCAACGATCCAGACACACGGCACACAATGTTCTGTCATCTCTCCAGAAAGAGTGTCTTTGCCTCCAGTATTTATGCTGCAGTTGGCCGTGTGGGCGTCTGCTGCCAGAGCCCACCAATGCTGTGCTAGATGTGTGTAGCCACTCCCCTTTTCCCCACCACAGGCCATTCGCAGGAAATACTGAGAAAAAGTTCACCTATCACATAACATTGTGCCTTAATTTTTCAGTATAGTAAGCAGTTTGAAACATTATGAGGTCAACATATTCTGTGAGTATATGTCAGCATATATGTATGACCTATCACACATTCTAGAAGGCATGCCAAAGAAAAACTTGACTCCCATAAAGCTAAAAAAAACATTCTTCAAAATTATTATTTTTAAATAATTATTTACATAGAAGTACGCATTAGGATATGGATTACTTTAAAACCACACCACTGAATTCAGGACTCCAACTGAAAACCAACTGCATGAAAGTGAATTTCTTAAAAATTGTGTGTGTGACAAAACTGACAAAAACACCACAACAGGCCTGTTTAAGGAAGTGAGAGGGGAAAAAAGAGTCACACAGTGAAACAGGTTCAACATTTTTTATCTTAAAATGTAAGACATCAAATATTAATCTGATGGCAAGACAAAGTTTAGGACCCAAGAGCAGTTTTTTGAAAAACAACTGTAAGGCTTTCAGACCAAACAGGCCTCTTCAACCTGACCTGACCCAGGTCAACAACCAATCAGGGCACAGCATCCAATAGCACAACCCCCAGGTGCTAATGGCCCACTATGCTGTGGTCAGGGGAGAAAAATTATATATTTATATTTGTGCCTTTTTTATATATTTCCTTTAGTTTGACTGCAAGTAGTTTTGGAATATAAATTTTTACTCTACACTTCTGCAATGAAGCATATACTTGAATGCAGTATTATTAGATATTATTTAGATAAATAAATATATGTATATATTATCTTTATGTTATCTATATTATTATCTTTATAATATATGTCTATAGTACTATACCACTATAAATAAATACTATTTAGTGTCTTCGTGTGTGTGTGTAATATATAAATAAATATAGGATTGTTTGTTTATTTATTACTGTACACAAACACAAAGAATAATGTTATCATGACGATGAGAAAGAGTTGAGAAGCAAATGCAAAATAAACAGAACTACAAAAAGTAGGTATGAACTTTTAACTATATGAAACACGAACACAAGAACTAGATATGAACTTTGAACTATATGAAACACAAACAAAGCCAGACACTGCCTCCATGGCTTTCTCAATGTCTTCAGCTGTGATGCTGGGGATATGACAGTTTCTGTCTGGTGAACTGGCTGAAAGAGTCCTTGTGACCTTCAAACAGCTTTGAATTCTCTGGTGCCTGGCTGAGTGAAACAGGCCTCTCAGTGATCGAGGCTGCAGTGCCAGATGATCCTGGCTGTGTGTGATCTCAGTCTGTCGTGGCATTGCTTTGTTGTCATAAAAAATCTCACATGGGTCTCTTCAGTCATTAATGTGTGTGGCGAGTCAGAAACGGTGGCGAGGACGAGCTCTCCCTCTCCCTGACTGTGTAGTCCAGAACTGAATGCAGCATATCAAATGATTGCTTGAACTTATCTTGGCTTCAGAAGGAAGCTGTCTCTCTGCAGGATGATCAGGATGGAGGGACTCTGGTTTGAACTAGAGGTTTGTGTAAGGAGAGCATGGTTTGTCTTATTACATATATTGCCCTTTCCTATTGTCTGGCAAATCCAAACTTCTGGTGTAATCAGCTGGCAACAGTGCGTTTTGCTTTGCTGCTTTCTGTGTCTGTAGCACTACAGGTTCTGTAACATTTTTGTGTTTTTATTCACACAGATCATTCCACAACAGGATGTATTTCCTCTGCCCTGTCTTTAAAAAGGCTCCACACTCTTCTTCCTGTTTTCCTATTGCAGTACAATATTCACAAAACAACATTCAGAACATTAAGTAAAGCAGATATATATATATATATATTTATATATATATAACAGTGGAATGACTCAGTGCTTTAGAAAATGTTTGCCCTCTTTCAGAGCTTTTGTTTGCACAGACAGGTTGGAGTGAAATGGGGGATGGGTTTCACACCTTCCTGTGTGTACACAGCCTCTGAAAACAGGGCAAACATACACTGCAGAACTGAGTCATTCTACTGTGTGTTTTTTATTTTTATTTCAGAATTGTTCACCACACACACACACACACACACATACACATTGTAATACTGTACACAGAAGCATATTATTAAATACTATTTGAATATTACTGCATATTTAAAGCATTCATAGTTTTGCAGTCTTTAAGCTTCGAGTTTTACATTTCAGAAAAAGATACAAAAGATTCTCTAGTATCATTTTAAAGCAGAGATTCTAAGCTTTATATTGCTATAAATTACTTAATTGTAGCCTTAGAATTGACTGAATGACAAATAAATTACTACCGTCAGATTTCCAATGTTTTGAAGGCCACGCGCAAGCACAGAAAATATCTGAATTTAAGCTTTGAGTTTTCCATCCTGTGTGTGTGTCTGGAAGGAAGCATATTATTAAATACTATTTGTTTATTATTGCATATTTGAATCAAAGTATTTCATGTGGAATGACTGTTTCAGAGTCTTTGTGCTCTCTCACAGGTAGGTGTGAAACCCATCCCCCATTTATTATAATTTTTTATTTATCCTTTATTTTACCAGGATAATCCCATTGAGATGCAAATCTCTTCTTCCAGGGAGTCCTGGCCAAAATGTCAGCACAAAAAGTTTCACAATAAAACAATTACAAACACATAAAACAAACTAAATTTTGCCCTACATTCAGCTGATTACAAATATGTGACAAATAATAAAAAACCAACAAGCATTTACTCATAGCAAGTACATGTTTCCTTTAGAGTAGACCATAAAAGTTTTTTTTTTTTATTTAAAGAGGGGAGTGTTTTCAGCATAATAACACTCTGCA